CCCCGATCCCCCCCCCCCCCCCCGCTAAGGTACTACTGGACTAAAATCTAGATTTTCAACCGGGAAATTATACATTACCATAATTGTGACTATACATACACAAGTTGCTGTTCCCTCTTTCTCAACAGCGGTGGATTTCCTGGGAGGTATCAGAAAACTTTGTCCTGCAATTTCCCCCCCCCCCCCAATCCAAGTTCTTCTCCTACCTTCCGATTTCCACCCCTCAATGTGCTTTGGTACCATCTTCCTCCAGTGTTCCCTCTAAGCTGAGTTAATGCGAGCTAGCTCACGGTTTTTTTAGCCTCCAGCTCACAGATTTTTGTCTCCGCTCAGGAAGGAGGGCTCCAGTGCAAACTAATTTATGCAGCGGCCAAATGGCTCGCTCACAACTTTAATGCCAGCAGCTCACAGAGTAGAATTTTTGCTCACAAGACTCCACAGCTTAGAGGGAACATATACTCTGCCAGACTTCCGGTGCCTCAGGAAGGGGAGGGACCACGCATTAGTGGGTAGAGCATCTGCTTGGCATGCAGAAGGTCCCAGGATGAATCCCTGGAATCTCCAGTTAAAAGGATCTGGTAGTAGTGGGCAATTTTGGCAGTGGCGATGATGGGTGATTCTAGTTTACCCGTTGCTACTGGCCAGTCACAGCAGGAGTCCAGCCTCTGCCTGAGACCCTGGAGAGCCACCGCCAGTATGAGAGTGGCCGGTACTGAGCCTGATGGACTGATTCCAATCCAATGGAATTCCCTTTATTGGCATAAAAAGGAAGAGAGATACAACATGGCAAATTTACAGAGGATTTCAGTTATAAAATCAGTCAGGAATCAGACAGGAGAGCTCATCTTTTGCTCCCCAATAGTTACAGCAGTGAAAAGGTACCTTTTTATTTTTTTTATTTTTTGGATTTGTATCCCGCCCTCCCCTTAATGGGCTCAGGGCGGGTTCCAACAATATAAATATAGTACAACAATATCAATATAGTACAACAATATCAATACAATACAATACAATTAAAACCATGTTAAAACCAGTCAGTTCTGAGACCCTGACCTCAGTGCTCTCTGGGGTATATATGGGGAAAGGTGGTCCCTCAGGTATGTCAAACACTGAACTGCAGACCGGCAGTTCGAGACCCGAGTGCCACATGACAGAGTGCCACATGACATGACTTTCGAGCAAGGGAAATCTTACGTGCAGCTTGGCTTTGCAACAACATGCAAGGTCGGTAGTTCAGCAGTTCGAGACCCAAGTGCCACATGACGGAGTGAGCGCTCGTCTCTAGTCCCAGCTCCTGCCAACCTAGCAGTTCGAAAGCAAGAAATTGCAAGTAGATAAATAGGTACCGCTTCAGTGGGAAGGTAACAGCGTTCCGTGTGCCTCGGTGTCTAGTCATGCCAGCCATGTGACCACGTAGAAGTCTTCGGACAGCGCTGGCTCTTCGGCTTTGAAACGGAGATGAGCACCGCAACCCTAGAGTCGGACTCGACTGGCTTTCGAGCAAGGGAACCTTTACCTTTACCTTTACCGTTCGAACACCATGGTTGAAAACAACAGTGTTATTTTACAAAGGCTCTCCATTGGCACAGTGTTGGGGGGGCAGAGAATGGCCGGCCCAGGGATCTCAGCTGTGGGGATGCCCCATTGCGGCTGCAAATACAGCTACATTGGCAGGGGCAGGGAGGAGTCATCTCCATGTGGAAGCAGCCCAGGCTACAGCTATTTTCAAATTTCCATTGTGCGCTCTGAGATTCAGGGCTCTTTTTTTGTAGAAAAAGCCCAGCAGGAACTCATTAGCAGGCCACACCCAACAGCAGAAACTTGTAAGTATATTAGGCCACACCCTGGCAGCACAGCTCATTAGCATATTAGGCCACACCCCATGCCTTCCCTTGGCTGGGCCAGGCGCCCCGCAGTTGCGAGGAGCCCGGGCAAGCCCTTGGACAGGCCAGGGAAGGCACGGGGAGGCATTTAAATCCCTCCCGATCCTTCCATGGCCCCACCTGGCCCACCCGCTTTGGAGTCGCTGGTGGGGTCGCTCTCCAGGCCTTCCCCTCTGTAGCCACGCACACAGAGGTTTCGGCTGTAGTGGGCGTGGCCAATTCTGACGCCAGCCGGAACTCCATTCCCGTGCGCTCCTGCCCCCAAAATAGCCCTGCTGAGATTCAAGATATTAGCAATGAAACAAGTTGATTTTAGACAAAGCAATGGTCATTTAAAAACAAAACCCACATCATAATTCTGGCTCTTCAGCAAACTCGACGTGCCTTTCCTCTCTTTCAGCCTTCCCTTTCCATCGACAACAATGTCCGGGTGTGGTTGTGGCGGTGGCAATGGCGGCAACATGACCGTCCTCTGTCTCCCCGCTGGGAACCAGGGCGGCGGCTGCTGCCAACCTTGCTGCTGCTGCCGGCCGTGCCAAAGCTGCTGCCAGACATGCTGTTGCCCATGCAGGAGATGCTGTTGACGAAACGTTGACGCTCAGAACGGCCCCGAAACGACGTGGCCTTAAGCCAGCATTGTGAGCGTCCCTGGGAAGACCAGCCCATGGAAGATCCGAGCTCCTCCTTCCCTGTCAAAGCTCTGCACCTGCCTCCTTTCTGTTTTCAGATTCTTCTGTTCCCGGCTTGACTCCCTGAAAAAGTCTCTCAAGAATTCCTACCAAGAAGAGGAGGCATGCCTATTAGGATACGCATTAATTTCTCATTCGTCTCATTGGCTTCCTGGGCTTTGAAACTCTCATGCTTTCTGGTATTTAAAAAATGACAACTTGCATTGAAAGATAAACACCGGTGGAAGAGTACCACTCCTTCAGGCTTTATGTAGTGGTTTGGCGACATCATTTCTTCTCTTCCCAATTCTTCTGGTCGTCCTTGGCAACTATTACCCAGAAACCCTACAATCCAGTACCTGGAGAAGACGCTGATGCAGCGGAAGGATTCCATCTTACATCAAGCACTGATCGTTGACTCACTTTGGAAAAAAAAAGAGTTAAAGAAATTTGGTCTCACAAGTGAGTGAATCAGGGAAATAAGCCTACCTACAGGGTTCTCCTCTGTCTCCATGACATCACCCTCAGTCCAGGCCAAGATGGGCTTACCATACCTGCCTCCATATGTAGGAAAATATCCAAAAGAATACCGAGACATCAAACGACCTTCCTGTGTTATCAAAAAGAAGATCACATCCTGCCATAATTTCGTGTAGCCCAGAGCATCTCTCGATGATGCAATCCCAACTCCTCTTCCCGACTCATAGAACCATGAAGCCTACAATTTTATATAACACCTGCTTGCACCCTGGCAAACTAGATCCAGTTTCCCCTCCCCCAGCCTGCCCTCAACTTTCAAGCAGTTGGACTACACTCATGCTTCAAGATCAGGCACCATATGCCTTAAACCTCTCTTTCTATAACCCCTTTACTCTCTCTCTCTCCCCCTCTGCTATGTGGGTCTCTCTCTCTCTCTCCTTCCCTCCCCTTGTCTTCCTCATCCTCCCACTCTGCCAGTTTGGTACAGTGGTTGAGTGCGCGGACTCTAATCTGGGAGAACCGGGTTTGATTCCCTACTCCTCCACTTGCACCTGGCTGGATGACCTTGGGCAAGCCGTAGTTCTGATAAGAGCTGTTCTTGAAAAAGAGCAGTTTCTGTCAGAGCTCTCTCAGCCCCACCTACCTCACAGGGTGTCTGGTGTGGGGAGGGGAAGGGAAAGGAGTTTGTAAGGCACTCTGAGACACCTTTGGGTAGTGAAAGGCGGGGTATAAATCCAATCTCCTCCTCCTCCTCTTCTTCTTCTTCTGTCTCTGAAACCTCACCAGCTTCATTTAGTTCATACTGCCTTCCCTTCCGGTGCCCAGTTAATTCATCCTGAGTTCTCCTTATTCTTTGCAATTCTCTCCCCAAAGTCCTGATCAGATGAGGCATTCCTCTGTTCCCTATATGGTTTTCATTTCGTCACCTCGACAGTCCCCTTTGACAAGCCCTTTCCCTCTTCTCTGGGTACTATGTAGATAATGCCACATATAGTAGTCCATGGTATAATTCACCAGTAAAACACATCTAAATTTGACTATTTGTTGCACTAGGAAATGCTTGGATTTGAAATTTGTCTTTCTTCCACTTTGCCTTTCTCTATGTCCTGTTTGAAGTCAATAAATTCCACTTATCACTTTCAAAATTGTCTCTCCTCTTTCCTGATATATCTCCAAAGCATGTTTGTCTATCAAAAGACCTGGAATCATCGAATGGGATATATTTGAGAAGTCACCTTGATTCATATGACTCCCTTGTTGCTTGGGTAACACAATTTTCTATGAACTTTCTTTATGTAGATGTCCATTTCAGTGAGTGTTGTTCGCCTATGCGCTATTTCTGGTTTTATATATATATGTATGTTTGTGGTTGCTGACACACATGCACACACCTGGACTGTGGTTGTGAATTCCTATGGGTTGGGAGAAAGCTGCTTGCATTGAAATGCTGTGACCTGAAAGGCTCCTAGCCGGCTATTTATGCAAATGGAGTTCGACACTCAGACACAGCTCAGCCTGAGGAAGAAGCTGCATCGCCATTGCTAGCAGTACAAAACAACAACTTGCATGGATGTAACCACCACTGGTGAACTTTTGGTCAACACGTAACCCTGCTATCTGGTTTGCATCAAAAAGGAGAGTTTCCTGTTGAAACTGCTTTTATGGCTTGGGACAGAGCTACAGAGGTCATTTCGGGGGGGAACATGGGGGAACGCAGTTCCCCCGGGGGAGGTGCAGGGGGCGGGGCACATGACAAAGCCCCGCCCCCTGCTTCCGGCCGCCCCGCTTCCGGCCCTCATTCAGCCGAAGGAGGCAGGAGAAGAGGGAGGGTAAGTTGCTTCCTCCCCACCTCTCCCCACCCCTGCCTGGGGCCAGGGAGGGCCTTGGCGGGGCATCCTCGCACTCCCGCTGGCCTTGCAGGTCCACCGCTGGGCCCCTGATGTCAGGGTGTGTGACATATGCTAATGAGTTATGCTAATGAGTTCCCCTAGCTCTTTTTCTATGAAATGACCCCTGCAGAGCTAGATCGATCTGCACTACAAAGTTTACCTTGGTACCCAACTTCACATCTTGAACAGATGTCTTCCTTGAGTTAGGGGTTTAGATTTCCACATTGCTCACTTCCTCAAGGTAAGATACGTCAGTCTATAGAACCAATAGTATAGAGTCCTGGGACGGATTATCCAGGTAGGTGGAACCTGAAGGAGGGCACAGATGCCACCCCCAAGGAACCCCTATATAAAGTGAGGTTCAACAGTTTGAACCCCGCTAGCCATCTTCTTCCCTTAATTAGTAACTTACAATCTTGCTGCTATTGCAATCCTTTGTTTCCTCTCTGACCTCATGGACTGCAGCCTAGAGGTCTGCACGTATTTGGCTGGTTCCAACCGTGTGCAGTAGAGTACTTATAGTTATTCTGTTTATTTTACCTATTCTTTGTTGGGAAGATCAAGCCTCTGATCAGATATGTATTTGCTACTCCCTCTCCCATTCATTTAGTGTAAAAGTAACTATTTGCTATTTCTGTAATACTGAGGATCTTGTATGCGTGTGTGTGAGAATCTGTTTTTCGCATGTATGGGAATTAGATGTAGGAAATAAAAGGAACCAATTGCTTTCATCATATATTAGCCTCGTCTCCATTTGTAACTGGGCTTCCTCTGAGGTGAATTCGCATCCTGTATACACTGGTCAGCACCACCAAAATATATATTTCATACCGCCTCTGCTGTAGATAAAGCAGATAGGCTAACAGTGTTTCATACATTGTCTATACATTTTTTAATCTGCACTGGGGTGTGCACATCACATATACTTTTCATTATCCCAGTTTCAGGAGCTGATACCTCTTTGGAAATATGTTTCAGGGTCATTTGGGGGGATTGCGGATTTCAGGGACAGAGTTTCCTAAGAGGAGGAAAAATCTGGCTTTCTGAAGCAACTATTGTTTTAAGCAAAGAGACCCCGAATTTCAGGACAACTAGTTCTCCCTCTGATAGACAACTTAAAAACTGATAAATCACCAGGCCCAGATGGCATACATCCGAGAGTTCTGAAAGAACTCAAATGTGAACTTGTGGATCTCCTGACAAAGATATGTAATCTTTCCTTAAAATCTGCCTCCATTCCTGAGGACTGGAAGGTACCTAATGTCACTCCCATCTTTAAAAAGGGTTCCAGAGGAGATCCGGGAAATTACAGGCCAGTCAGTCTGACATTGATACCGGGTAAATTGGTGGAAACCATTATTAAGGAAAGAATTAGTAGGCACATAGATGAACAAAACCTATTAAGGCAGACTCAGCATGGGTTCTGTAAAGGAAGATCTTATTTATTTATTTATTTAGGTATTTTTACCCCGCCCTCCCCGCAAGCGGGCTCAGGGCGGCTTACAAGGGCATAAGCCATACATAAAATCCAGTAAAATCATAAAACACAACCACTAACATACTATTAACAATAAAGTGCTTTGATTCCCAAGATGGTCTAAGTTGTTACAGTGATGTCTTCCAGCAACCCCAATTTGGGGTACCATCGTCCAATAGATAGTCCGAGCAAGTCGGCTGGTCTTGTTGCCGTGCAGTCCACATTTTCGCTGGGCTATCAAGGGCACTCCTGATCTCAATGATGTTGCCACCGTTGGTGGTGGTGGTGACGGCGGCGGACCCTACATAAAGGCCTGGTGGAAGAGCTCCGTCTTGCAGGCCCTGCGGAACTGCATAAGGTCCCGCAGGGCCCTGATCTCCTCCGGGAGCTCATTCCACCAGGTAGGGGCCGCCACCCTTGTTGCAGCATACTGTACCTCTCGGGGACCCGGAACCAAAAAACGGTTCTGGGTCCCCAACCGAAGTGCTCTTGGGGGTATGTACGGGGAAAGGCGGTCCCTCAGGTAGGTCGGACCCAGGCCATATAGGGCTTTATAGGTAAGTACCAGCACTTTGAAGCGGACTCGGTACACTATTGGCAGCCAGTGCAGTGCCTTCAACCCAGGCTTGATGTGCTCCCACCTGGGGAGGCCCATCAGCAGCCTAGCCGCCGCATTCTGCACCAGCTGCAGCTTCCGGATCAGCGACAAAGGCAGCCCCATGTAGAGAGCGTTACAGTAGTCTAGCCTTGAGGTGACCGTCGCATGGATCACTGTAGCCAGGTCTTCGCGGTCAAGGAAGGGAGCCAGCTGCCGAGCCTGCCTCAGATGGTAAAATGCAGACCTGGCAGTGGCTGCTACCTGGGCCTCCATTGTTAAGGAGGAGTCCAGGAGCACTCCCAAACTCCTAACCTCCGGCACAGGCACCAAAGGCACCCCGTTGAAGGTCGGGAGAGGGAGTCCCAACCCCAAACCGTTCCGACTCAGGCCCAGGACCTCCGGCTGTGGCCCTGCCCCCAGCGTGCCCGGCGTCATCACGTCACATCCAGGTGACGTGCATGCGGCGTGCGTGCGCAAAGCGCGCGCACGCAGAAGACGCCGTCTGGGAGCCCCCCGCCACAGACGAAAAACAATTTGGCAACCCTAGAGTCAAGTGCAGGGAAGGAGCCAGTGTGTGACTGCAATAAAGACGGCCAATGCTATGCTGGGGATTATTAGGAAGGTTATTGAAAACAGATCAGCCAATATCATCATGCCCCTATATAAATCAATGGTGCAACCTCATTTGGAATACTGTGTGCAGTTCTGGTCACCACACCTTAAAAAGGATATTATAGCTTTGGAAAAAGTGCAGAAAAGGGCAACTCGAATGATAAAAGGGTTGGAACACTTTCCCTATGAGAAAAGGTTAAAGCGCTTAGCACTTTCCCTATGAGGAAAGGTTAAAGCGCTTAGGGCTCTTTAGCTTGGAGAAACGACGACTGAGGGGTGACATGATTGAGGTTTATAAGATTATGCATGGGATAGAGCAGGTAGAGAAAGGTACTTTTCTCCCTTTCTCACAATACAAGAACTAGTGGGCACTCCATGAAA